TGCGATCCCCCGCTGGAAAGAGGCAGGACGCTGTGATGGGCTGCTGCCCCCATCAGGGTCGCTCACCCCTCACCAGTCCAGAGCAGGGGAGCATCCAGAGCCCAGCTGGAAGAACCCCTTAGGCGGAGGGCAGGAAGGGGGGTTATTTCCTCCTCTGTCTGGCAGAGGGGGCTAATCCTGCTGCTTGCTCCCTGTGAATAGTGGTGGCGGCAGTCAGGGCAGATAGACCCTGCTGCACCCCCCCAGGGGCAGAGGGGGGAATAACACCCCTTCCCTGCCCCATGCCTAAGGGGCCATGCGCCTCTGACCCCGGCCCCGCTCCTGGAGCAGTGTGGAGGGAGCAACCATGATGGGGGCAGCAGCCCCTGCCACAGTGTCCTGAACCATGAGCTTCTTCCCAGCAGGGTGGCTGTGCTGCCCCTTCCCAGAGGGGCAGGGTAAGGTGGGGAAAGTTGCCGCAGATGAGCTGTGGCAGTGGTGCTGGTGGGGACAATGGCCCCCTCCAAGCCCCAGTGCCATTGCTGACTGCAGTCTGCAGCAGTACTGACCCCCGCTTGCAGCCCTCTTGCCGGGAAGAGGCTCGCACCGCCCAGCCACCAAGGCAGGGACTGCTGCCCCATCAAGGCCCTGCTCCCTCACCACTCCAGTGGTAGGGCTGGGCGTGCAGTCAGAGGCCATCTGACAGGGGCCTTAGGTGTGGGGGAAGGGAGGAGGGTTATTCCTCCTCCCTCTGGCATCTGATGGAGCGGGCAAGAGTGGGCTTATCCGACCCCTTGCCCCACGCATGGAGCAAGCGGGGGTGGCAGTGGTCAGAGTGGGCAGACTTTGCTGTGATCCCCCAGGGGCAGTGGGAATAACTCCCCTCCCCCATCCCCCACCTTGCCTCAGGGGCCATGCCAGCTGGTGTTTCACTGTGCCCCTGGCCCTGCCGCTGCAGCAGCAAGGGGGGAGCGCCAGGCGGACCCCAGCCCAGGTCCGTGCTGGTGGGACAGGGAGGGGAGCATAGCCAGTTCACTTCGAGTTCAACCTTTCCCTGACCAGTTCACTTTGAGTTACTGCTGAGGCTGGCAATGCCAGCCCAGCACAGTCCCTGCAGCGCTCCCCAGCTCCTGGCCTGAGCAACTGTAGGCATGTGCCTGCATTTCCTCAGTCTGGACAGAATGTCTGTACAGTTGCAAACTGACTCAATCTAGCCAGGTTAGACTAACCTGTAAACAGTGAATCATTTCAGGCTCCAGCTTTTTGATTGTCTATCCCTAGCCATGCTGACACTTATAAACACTGGCATGTGGAATCTTTCAGTGTATCCTGGTAGACTCATTTTGAAGCAGTGGATTTCTTCTAGTTTCTTCTAGAAACTATACCTGGCATTAGAGAGCTACAGTAAGTGACATTAGCAAAGCCTTGGCTCTTGATTTTCTAAAGAATCATCATTAATAATAATGATATTAAGTGCATGTGGGCCAGTGCCTTGTGCTACAGTTCTTATTTAACCCTTATTCAGAACTGTCACATTAGGTTGCGTGCTGATAATTCTTATCCCAAAATCCTTGTATCTGACCATAGCAATATCTATACTGGGTCTATCTGCACTTGCAGGCATTCTGTTGTATCACGACAAAGGTTTGCCAATAAAGAAGAAAAAATAAATATGTTTTTTGCTACTGTGTAGTACCTCTAAGTACATACAGCCAAATCAGCTTGCAATGCAGAAGTTATTACAGTTGGATGCAAGGGAGTGGGGTGAATTTAGGTTTTTTTGCATTTTCTGAGTTGATGCATATGCAGGTACTATTTTGTTGAGTTGGATGCATTTCTCTCTTTCTTTTCTTCATGCTTAATTTTCAATTAAAATATTATAATTGAGCTATTAAAAAAAAAAATCCTCTTCAGAAAACTACTGGAAAGCATAGCCTTTAACTTAATAAACACTGGCAGTGTTGCTAACTCTCATGATTTTTGGCATTGTTCTTAAAGTGTACGCTTCAGGAATGTGAGAAACTTAGCTCTTTCTTATATATATATATATAGAGATATGTGTATATATAGAAGATTGCTTATATAAGAAAGAGCTAAGTTTTTCATGTTCCCAAAGCATAGATTTTAAGAACAGTGCCAAAAATCATGAGAGTTGGCAATACTGCATTAGAAAGAAAACAACTCTTGTTTGCCAAAGGAATGAACCCCAGGGCATGACCAAGGTCTTGTAAAAGCTGGCTCTGACTTCAGTAGAATTGCATCCATTTACACCCAGAGTCAGATTTCTAAGATTTATTTAAGTGTGTGTGTTGAGGGTGAAGCGCAAAAAAGTTCAAATGATAATTTTATAATCATAGTAAGAGCTCTATAGTAAGGTAACTCTTGTCTTTTGTCTGAATTTTCATTTAATTTTAGATTCCAGAGAGGGGACTACCACATTGATGTCTGCATCAATGATTATTTAGATGTGTTCTGTCCTCACTATGAGGATTCAGTACCAGAAGATAAGACTGAACGCTACGTTCTTTACATGGTGAATTTCGATGGCTACAGCTCCTGTGATCACACTTCCAAAGGATTCAAGAGGTGGGAATGTAATCGGCCTCACTCCCCAAATGGACCGTTGAAGTTCTCAGAAAAATTCCAGCTCTTCACTCCCTTCTCACTAGGATTTGAGTTCAGGCCAGGCCGGGAATATTTCTACATCTGTGAGTATATAGAAATTTATCGTTGTTGCATAGCAGCTGCAAAAAAAGCAAGGCAACATTTTTCACCTATATTTTATGGAAATGCAGAGGGCCAGCCTATATGTGTTGCAGATGTCTCTTAGTAAATGCAGACATCAGGATCCCCAGATACATTAGCTGAGAATCTGGAGTGAAAACGATATTAGAGTCATAGCTGCTTCTTGCAAACGAAAGTGTCAGTCTGCTTAGTGAACCATTTCTGACTTGTAAAAAAAAAAATCACTACTGTAGTTTTTCAGAAATTCTAAAATGGGCAGGGAGACTTCCATTTAAGAAATGGGAAGAAGTAATTAACTCGTGTATGGAATCCTAACATTTTTACATGGTTGGAATATCCCTGCTGTCCTAATTAACATTATCAGTGAGGAAATAAACACGGTATAGCCTGACAATTCTATAGCTGCAAATGCCAGGAGTCCAGCATTGTATAAAGTAATAATGTCTCAGGATTGCTTCTTGAAAAAATCAGAGAGGGCTTTATGTGGAACAGCTGTTTCTTTAAGCATGGAGGATGTGGAATGCAGTGGGAACAGGTTCCAAGCAAATCAGCATGAATGAGCTCACACACCTGCATCAGTAAATGATATTGAACATTGTGGACCCAGGGCTCTGTAGCAAGGAAATCTGCACCAATACTGCTTTGGGCACCAGATATAGTATGGAAAAACCTATAGGAGAACAGGCCTAGTGGCCTAACAAATAAAAATAGCAGGCAGCTAAAATGGACCTAACTAGGATTTTGTGATCTCGTAACCATGCTTTGTAACTGTCACTCCTTCTGTTATCTTGTTTGACTAATGCTCCAACAAAGATCTTACTTCATCAATTTATGTACCTGAAGTCTTCCGTTTCCCAACAAGCTTCAAGTATTACAACTACAATATTTTTCAATGTTTTCAGTGCCAGACAAAGGAGTTAAAAGCTTTAAACAGGCCATAGATCCCAATAAATATTGCCTTCCTGTCTGTTGTTGGCCTTTCTACTGTGAAACAGTCATTCCACCTCATTTCACCAGAGAAACTGAATACATAGCATCCCTATTTTTCAGCCTCATTTCTTCAGGATTGAGATTTTTTTCCTTTTTAAACCTACTGGGAAATGAACTCATGGTGAATTGTTTTCAATTCCTATTTTTCACCCAACAAAGTTTTATAATAAGTGAGATTTTGGTGTCACAAGAACAGCACCTTGTTTTCCTTTTTATGCTGGAGTGCAATAAAAAAAAAAATTGAGCTGTAACAGATATTATTTCAGTGCTGATTTCCTGAGATAGTCATGCGAAATCATGAAAGCCCAATGCCATTTCACACCCTGCAAGTAAATAAGTGGAATCATAGCTATGTGGAGAATGTTGTATAATAAATGAATGCATGTTGTGTGACCCTAATCCTAGTTGCTTTATTCATAAAAATCTCCCATTGGCTTTACCAAGAATTTTTTTTGCTAAAGATTACAGAATTGGGCCCCTTTTGAGCACCATATTCTTTTTAAAGAATCCTGTGAAAAAACAAGCCAATATATTTGTGCTGAGAAATTAATTCTCATTTGTCATGCGATTCCTTTGTAATAAAGTATTGCACAAGTGTCACACACATTATTGCAAGTTTATAAACTCCTGTATCAGCTTTTTAGATTAAAAAAAAAACATCATAAGGTATAAACCAAACAAGAATGTAGAGAAAGAGGATGAGAAATCTCAACTTGTCCTAACTAGCTAATAGCTTGATTATTAGAAAATACAAAGTCCACTGAGCTTTATAAACGAGACATTATTATTCAAATGAACCCAGGGTGCTTAAGACTGGTTTTCCTCATTTGTGGTTAAATTCAATATTTCACTAAAAATCATTATGTGTCTTCTATAACATTCAGTTAACAGAGTCATTTAACTGTCAAGGGCTCCCATCAAAGTAATTGTTCCAAAGTGCTTTAAAATATCAAGAGCTTTATGCTGTTCAACTGAGTTTAGCTGGAATTACTTTTTAAATGAAAGGTAAAATAGCACAAAATGAGCAGCAAAGAGATATTCGTTTACCAGTCGTGTATTGGCCTGGTATTCAGTGAAATTAAGCTTTCAGCTATGTTTCGGGAACACAAAAGTATGCCTTCTTTTTTTCTATAGTTTGAAGTATTTTTTCCCTCTTCATTCTTTCACTCATTCTCTGCTACTGCATAAAATACCTAATGCAGTGATCCCAGAGAAGCATTATATACTATGGTAACAATTAAATTTGAGGACTCTCTAGGAAGAGTTGTCCATCATGGTATGTTTTCTTCCCTTATGTGTGTCGAATGAATAAACTGGTAAAACAGTTCCTTGTTCCTTCTTGGAAATTATTATCATGCCTTCGAGTGCAGGCCACAAAAACAAGCATTGTTTTCTTGCTGTCTGTTTGTTAAATGCTCATTGCTTAGCAGAATAGTGTTTCATCTCCTTCTCAGACCCCAGAAACTTTGTTTTGGATGAATGTGCTGTCTAAGGGCAGAAGGCTGTAGTTTTTGGCTTCGTGCATTCTGGGAAAATAGGTTTAAATTGTCCAATGGCAGCAGGGCTTGGAACCATAACAAAGGCTAAAAGTGCTTCTGGGTAAGAGGGCTATTAAAATAAATTTCTCTCTCCCTCTCTGCTTCTGTTATTTGCTAAAGATTTTAAATGGGAGCTGTTTTTAATCTTCCTTATGTTATCCATTAAGGATAACATTTTTTCCCTCTTGCTTGTGCCAGTTTCAGGTGCTGTAACCTCAAACCATTCATTTTCTTTTTATCCAAAGTCTTTGTTTTTTAGAAGTATTATTCCATGTCTTCCTTGGAATTTGAAATCCCATCTGTATCGCTTGCGTGAACTCAGATCTTCCTCTGCCTTTTCCCTTGCTATAAAGTTAGATTTACATGGGGTTTATATTAGTTTGCCTCTAGTTTCATTTGAAGAGATTAATTAAACAACATGCACCTGTAAATCACCAAAATACTGAAAAAGTAGGTTTACTTTTGGGAAAATTTGTAATAGGGAGGTTGCCTCCAATAAGTTAATTGCTTATGTCAGTCTTACCTCAGGAAATGTTAGTGGAAAAGATAATGGGTTAAGTTATGAAGCTCACTTTTAATCTCAGTTTCTGTTGAGTTTTGCTCAGGTTATTAGGATAGCATATTTTATAATGCAATGAAAATAAACCTGAAGAGATAGGGGTCATAGAGCTTGAATACTTTTCAGAATAATTGTTTTTGATATCTTCTTGAAGGAAGAAAAAGATGAAATTAGATGAAGTGTTATTCAAGGGTAAATAAAAGCATTAGAACAGGAAAAAAATTTGGGATATTAAAATGATCTCTCTTTTTAATGCAATATAAATCAATGTTTTATTCAATTTTTTTCAGCAATTTGGAAGTAAATATAAAATCAGGGGTAATAAAATTTGAAGATGAAAACATTGCATGGAACAGAGCTCAGGGCAGACCCTGCCAGATCCCTACTTGAAATGTCTTCCCAGTTTCCCAGCAAGCTGTTGATAACTACTCTTCGAGTGTAAATCTTTTATCAGCTGTAGGCCTACTTTATGGAGATATAATCTAGGCTATATTTTCCTAGTTTGTTTGTGAGACTGTCATGTTGGGAAAGTTTCAGAAGTCTCACTGAAGTCAAGATATGTAACATTTCTGTTTTCCCCACATTTGTTAGACCCTGTCAAAGAGGGTATTTCTATAGGTCTGATATCCTGTGATCTTGCCAAATCTATATGGGCTTTTTATTGCATTATTAATTGTTCTAGTCATCTAATGTCTTTCCAGATACCAAAAGTTGTCTGACTAGTCTGTAATTACCAGGCCCTCTGTTTTCTTCTTTTTAAAATAAGTAACATAATTTCCCTTCACCAGTCCTTTGAGTCCTGCCCCCTCCCCACAAGCTTTTGAAGATAATCTGTAGTGGTTCAGCAATTCCTTTGGCTAGTTCTTCAAGTACATCTAAGGTAAATTTCATCACCAACTTTAATGCAATTAACTTATCTAAATACTTTTAAGCTGTTCTTTCCCTGTTACGTCCTCTGATCCCCTTCCTTCATTTATATTAACTGTTAAGTTCAGGCCATAAGTAACTTTGGGGAAGACTAAAGCAGGAAGAGCATTGAATGCCACATTTTGTGCTGTCTCATCTGTTATGTGCCCTCCTTTTCAATTAAATGAGGGATCTATATGCTGCTTTAACGTATTTATAGAATTATTTTTCTGTTTATGTTCCTTGCTAGTTGTAACTCATTTTGTGCCTTACTGTTGCCATTTTATTCATACATGCTTCTCCTATTGCCTACACCAGTAGTTCTCAGCCTCTTTAGATTTAAAGTACCCACTCCATAACTTTTCAGCTGAACGCCACTAAATTCAGAAAATCACTATGATAGAGGGTAACAAAAGAAACTGCAGCATTGCGGGGTTTTTTTTTAAAGTAATAAGGTTCAAGTTAACGATGTCACTTAAATTTAAAAAAAATACCTCTTAATTTTTTTTTAAAGGCTTATTACATAAAAACTGCTTTTAAAATAAACTGCACAGAGCAAGCCTCTTCCCAGCCTCTCTTGCAAGTCGGATCTTCCCATGCTTCTTGTGTGGGGCCGGGCAAGACAGTCTCTGACACAGTTTGGGTCTGCCTCCCTTGGCTGGGGGAGCAGTTTTCAGTGTGCTGGCAGGAACAGTCCTTTCCAAGATGCCAGCACCATAGGGCATCTAAAGGGGCAACCTCAGGATTTGTCTAAGGGGTTTTTGTTTTGTTTTTTTAAACCTACCTTTGTGATCTCTATGACTGCTTAACTCTGAGACCTGCCTGAGGAGTGCGTATGTCCCTCATTACATTTTGTAGCTGATCAGTGCTGTGCAAAGCAGGAAGCAGTCCTGCTCCTTGCTTTCTACTCATATATACTATGGCACAGTGAGCAGGCAAGGTTTTTTGGGTAGATGTGATATCTTTTATT